CGGAGGGGCTCACAAACGCAACCGATCGCAACCGCAACGGGTCGCAAACGCAACGGGTCGCAAGCGCAATGGCTCGGAAGCGCGATGGGTCACAACCGCAACGGTTCGCAAGCGCAACGGCTCACAACCGCAACTGGTCACAAGCGCAACCGCGGGGAGCCGCCTGTTAGACGGCATCGACTGTAGACGAAGCCAGGAGTGGGAGCGAAGCGCACAGCGGGCCTCTGGATGGGAAATCAACCGAGCCTTTGGTCGCTGTGCACTTCTTGCGTAGAATGCGGTACATCTCAGACACTTTTAAACGTTCTGACACCCGCACTGCACCCGCGTTGGCGCGGCAGAAATTACTTTTGTGGTAAATAAACAATTATAGATTTCTCTTTTGCAAAACCAATATCTGTGGCTGTTTAAAAGTACTTATATTTATTCCATTAGGGTTCTATCCTTTAATTGTATAACCCTACGTTTTACTTTATATCATAAGGTGAACAGTGGGTTGGCTTTGAAGCTCAGTGTTCACTAGTCAGTGCAAAGAATGAGTTAATGTGTGAACTAATACTGTGATGTATTTTTAAAAAATGTGTCAGGTGTGTGTGTGTGTGTAGTGTAGTGCGACGCGTCCTACGAACAAAGTTCGATCTCCCGGCGCGCCGTTCAACGCTGTCCGATCTCCTTTTCAGCTTTTATCTGCACCGTAGGCTTCAAGCCGTGATATCTTCGTTGATAGTTCACTTAAAATGAAACTAATAAATTCTATGTGATCCTCAAAGATTACGCAACGCATTGGACCAATAATAATATGCTATGATCTTGACGAACATACGTACGAGGCGTTTAATCTTTCACCTCACTGCAAACCCCGAAAAGGAGATCGGACAGCGTTGAACGGCGCGCCCGGAGATCGAACTTTGTTGAACGGCGCGCCCGGAGATCGGACAGTGTTGAACGGCGCGCCGGGAGATCGAACTTTGTTCGTAGGACGCGTCGAGTGTGTTTGAGATTGTAAGATTCAAGTTGTGGTCGTCCCAGCATTACTCAAACTCTCGGCTATTGATTTGCTGAATTTCAGCCGTGTCAAAACGTTCAAAAGTGTCTGAGAGGTACCGCATCCTACACGAGAAGTGCACAGCGACCATAGACTAGGTTGATTTCCCTTCCAGAGGCCCGCTGTGCGCTTCGCTCCCACTCCTGGCTTCGGTTACAGTCGATGCTGTCTAACAGACGGCTCTCCGCGGTTGCGCTTGTGACCCGTTGCGCTTGTGAGCCGTTGCGCTTGCGATCCGTTGCGGTTGTGACCCGTTGCGCTTTCGAGCCATTGCGCTTGCGAGCCGTTGCGCTTGTGACCCGTTGCGGTTGCGATCGGTTGCGCTTGTGAGCTACGTCGCCGGACGGACACCCCCGGTACACTACACTCTCTAATCTCACCGCAGGGAGCGGGGCAGGGGGCAGGGCGCGGGGAGTTAACGGCGCCCGCGCCCGCGATCCACGCAGCGTAAGTAGCTCACGAGAAATACTTAGTTGAATATAGCTCATGCAGGTGTCGGGTAGTAACGTACCGTAACTGAAAAGAAAACGTTGTTTCCTGGGATCAACGTGCGACACCGGAAAAAGTAGAATTAAAACGTGTGCCAAGTTAAATTGGCCCGCCGGCAATGGTCTGCTGGTAGAATATGAAAAATTCACACTTCCTCAGCTCAGCCAGGTCAGCTCAGTAGGTAAACATGTTGTAAACATTGAGCGATGGCTGCTTTCAGCAGTGACGAACAGCGTTGTATCGAACAGCAAATATATGAGTTGAGCTCCGTGTGTCCAACGCCACCCGATAGAATTCGAAATGTGTATGAACTTGATCGATGTGATCAATGGATTAATGCTAATGGACTGTCAAAGGTAAAATTACTGCCAATTAGAGCACATGCAGGTGGTAAGGTTATGTTGTTTCTGGAGTGATGATCAAAATAAACATGTCCGTCCTAGGGAAAAGGACCACATTTTCGCTTCGTGATGAGGAATGTATGTTCGATGAAGATTTCTTAATTTTTGCTTATTTCCAACTCTGTTGTAGGTTTGCTTGCAGTTTCCTGATAACCTCTTATGTGATTCCCCTGATGTGTTACTCAGCCTTCGGAACTCATCGGGTGCACAATGCTTCATCTTAGGGGACACTTCTTATGGGAGGTAGATTTCTGTTTTGTTTACATAGCCACAGCCAGATTTGAGTTGTTGCACTTATGGCTCTAATAACACGCCATTTACATCTATTTATTTTTTTCAGTTGTTGTGTGGATGAAGTATCAGCTGAACATGTCCAAGCGGACGGAATAATTCACTTTGGGCATGCTTGCTTAAGCCTCACTATACGTCTTCCTGTCCTTTACATATTCCAATCAAAGCCGTTAGATGTTCAGAATTTAATGAATGCAATCAGTGCTAGGTTTGAGGACTGCAATTCCAGCCTCCTTGTCATTTATGATGTGGCTTATTCTCATAAAATTGGTAGGTAGAAACTGATTTTCATGCCATCAATTTTAGATCAACTTGTTAACTTTATTTTTTTTTATTATTAAATATTACAGCGGATGTTGATAAAGCCTTAACACTGAAATTTCCCAATGCTGTGTCTGCTCGTCCCACTTTGAGTAATTCTGCAAAAGAGCAGTATAATTGTCTTGGAAGTTCTTTCACTCTTCCAGATAAATCAATTTTAGAGAATTACAATGTCCTATATATTGGCCATGATGGAAGAACATTCACAAATTATCTCCTGGAACTAGCAGGTTATTGAAAATCATTACTTTTACTGTATTGGTGTTTCCTTATTTTAGTGATTACTTTCATTTACAGCTTGTAAATTATTTCGATATGATCCTGAGGAAACACAATCATGTGTACAACCTGCAGACGGAAAAATTAGCAAATTCCTGATGAAACGATTACATTTAGTTGAAAGGGTAAAGGATGCAAGAACACTTGGTATTTTAATTGGTACTCTTGGAGTGGAAGGGTATTTAGATGCTGTTGATCGAGTCAAACTGCTTGCCAAGAAAACTGGGAAAAAAACTTATATTTTTGCTGTTGGGCGTCCCAATATCCCCAAGCTGGCAAATTTTCCAGAGGTGTGTGTTGGTATCAATTTTATTTTTATACCTGGTCTGAGACTGTGTCATTCAATTCATTTTCTTATTGATCAGGTGGACGTTTTTGTACTTATTGCATGTCCTGAAAATTCTTTATTTGACTGGAAAGAATTTTATCAACCAGTTGTTTCTATATATGAAGTGGAATTAGCTTGCAACTCAGCCCGAGAGTGGTCATCAAAATATGTAATAGACTTCAGGCAACTTCTCTCAGGTAACAATTAAAAATTAGAATTCTTGGAAATTCTTGTTTTGATTCAAAACATTACATTTTCTTGTTTCATATAGGTGGAGGGGATCATGTGGAGCTATCCGATACCCCGGAGGACACTTTGGATGTGTCCTTGATAACTGGCAAAGTTCGCAACATCGATCTATCTTCTTCAGTAAATGATTCAGAAGAGCGGAGTGTAGCTGCCAGAGCAGACTTGGCAGTTTGTGTCAGTACTGGGAGCCAATTTCTATCAAACCGTAGTTGGCAGGGCCTTGAACAGAGTTTAGGCCAAACCCCTGTTGAACTGGCTTCGGTTGGAAGAATTGGTGTTGCAAGTAGTTACCAATCGGAGCCTTTGCAAAGAAAATTGGAGTAAAATTCTTGTCACTTTGTCTATTACAAACTTGCTGTTATTGAAAAGTGTTTTCATTGTAACCTGAGCTGTCCCAAAACATGTGACATGAAAAGTATTTTTTCTGGGTTGAGTGACAGCATGCCGTCTAAGAGTCACTGAGCAGCTTTACCACCAAACCTGCATCTCAGTAGAAAGGAAATGAATGGGGGAGTAAAAAGAGCTCCTCTGCTCTGCCTGCATGTCATGTGGTTTATTTTGGTGATACATTCAACAGGTTAAATTATTACCGAGTTTGAACAAATACACCTTTGACTCCAGTTTGTAATAAAATAGTTGAGGCAGAACACACAAAGAAAAAACAGTTCAAGAATAAAATATATAAAAATAATAATATTGTACAAGACTTTATCAGCTATTATGTACAAACAAAGGGAGGCAAAATACACTTAAGCTAGATGCTCTCCAGGAAGAAAACAAATATTTCAGGGTCCATCTGCTTAAAAACAGCAATGTTGAATAAAGACACGCAACAATACACATTTTTAGGACAAAGCAGCATATTTGTCTTGACAAGTCAAAAATTTGACAAACATAAAGAAACTTTAGTTGTAAAAAACATTCCTACTGTAAGTATTCATGAAGATAATTATCAGAGTCCTTAGGTTACAAATTCATTTCAGTCAATTCAATAAAAGTCCGCATACCTATTGAAGAAGATAGATTTACTGCCGGAACTTTGTTTATAGAAGATACCAACAATGTTAACAAGGACAACACTTTCAAATATTCTCAATTGGTAATGTCTAACAACTGTTTAATAATACAAATACTTTGATCCATAATAAAAACAAAATGCAGAAATCTAGCTCTGGTTGTTCAAAAATTTGTACAGAGAAAATAAAAAAAAAACACTAACTTAACAAATTACTTATACATTTCAGAATACAGGAGCAATGGCAAATTGTTTTACACTGAATGTCAAGTCAAGTTAAAAGCCATTTAGAAAATACTTTAGAGACTTTGTAATTTTATTAAAACATGATGGAGCGATATTAAGAGTCCAAATATAATTCTAAGAGGAAATATACTATTCATTGATTAGTCCAACTTTGATAAGTGACAAGTCTATCATTTTTCTTTGATATCGCTTTACAAATGCCGCTGCTGATTCAGATGCAGCAAATCGTATTATTGCTTTTTTGTTTTTTTTATCCAGGTTAATTTCCTGAACAAAGAGAGAGATAAATCAGGTAAATGTGAACACACAGATAGATACTAGTGTATCTAATGATTTTGTTGTTTCCCTCTTTTTAAATTGATGGTTTTTTATTATAACTTACCTGAACCTTCCCAATGCAATTGCACATCATCCTCAGCTGAGTTTCATTGGTACTATGTGCCAAATTCTCAACCAGCACCATTTTAGCAGATGAAGTTTCATTCATTGTACTATTAGGTAGTTGAACAGTTCTAGTCTAGAAATAAGATAAAAAAAAACAACAAGAAGTAATGAGAATTGCAGCAGCATTTTATTTTCATAATTTGAGTATATAGTTTTGATGGTCAAAGGAGATTTACCTCTGAAGGGTTAGGCTTAACGATCCTTTGTGGGCCCCCAGTTGTCTGTTGGCCTCCTCTCATGACTACAATACGACTTGAACCACTCCCTTGTGTTGTCGCCTCCTTATTACTTACCTGAAAAATACTAAAATATAGAAACCAGAAAAATACAACAACAAATTGTTGTCTATGTCAATCATTGATTGATTGACTTATCATGGGCATTAGCAAACTTACAGAAGCCTCAATAGATAAACTTTGTGGAATGCCTAAAGGAGGTTCAGTTGCAGAAGTGGGTCCAGAGGCATTAGTAATTTCTCTGCCTAGCCTGTTTTGCATACTTCTACCTCGACCTCCCCTTCCACCTCTTCCACGCTGGTTATTGAACCCTAATTGGTTAGAGTAATTGTTCAGGGACTGCTGAGATTGATTTACTGGAGCTTGTAATTGATTGGTTGGGACTGTTTTCCTTGGGGACTGATTCAGAATTGTAGAGATAGATTGAGTGGCAGAAACTATTTGTTTGCTAGAGCTCTCTCTTGAATCTGCAGGTAAATATTGAGTGCCTTAGTTTTAATAATCTTTCATTAAAAGGTATTTATAATTATAGAAGAACAATTGTACCATACCTGAAATTGATGGATCAGAGTCTTTTTGTTTTTCTATGGCAGCTTTTCTTCTTCTATCCTCCTTCTCACGGAGAAGTTTCTCTCGGAGCTTCTTTTGCTCTTCAATTTTTTTACGATACTCTCTAGTTTCCTCATCCTGGTTAAAACAAATTATGTGATTAACGAAAACCTGCTTTGAACAAATCACAATCTCGGTTCCTGAAGAATTCGCTTCATCCAGATTAGGTTGTAAGTGGCGAACATATCACGTTGAGTGCGGCGTGACCCACACCGTGGGTCCCAATAACAACATTGCCTACCCCCGCCACACTCAACGTGATATCAGCAGAAACTTCAAACACACACCTCGTTTAAGTCATCTTGTTGAGTTTCATTAGTTGTGGTTGTATCAGGCAGTGGGTCGATAGTAACTGGTAGCAGGTTACTGTGCCCCTTATAATAGAAATAGGTTAATTAGAGATTATATCTTACAATTATTCAGAGAACTTTTTTGGTATAAAGGAAAAAGTAGTACTTACTGCAGCCATGCGTGGTTCTATTCTTCCTTGTTTTTTTGGTACAGTACCCGGGCTATCACTCAGTGATCTTTTAGGAGGTGAATGTGTTTGATTAAGTCTTCTATTTCCTCCAGGTGTAGGGGTTTGTCCTCTAATACCTCCTCGTCCTAATGAGAATAAATATTGGTATAAAACTTCAAGGCTAGGTACAAAAATTTTTAGTTAACTGTATTACCAGTACCTGGTGGGTTATGAAACCGTTGGTGTTGTGGAATCTTTTCCTGCCTTTGAGGTAGAGATAATTGTTTTTGAGGTTGTTGATTAGTTTGTTGGTATCCTCTCTGAGCTTGTAAAGGACCCTAAATAGATAGACAACCAGATGTAGGAGAATATTGACATAGATTGTGTTAATCAATTTAAAGTTAATTATTTTAAAACACTCATCAAGATAAAAATTTGAAAGAAACTTATAAAAAGAAACAATGTAGAAAGTCCATAAAATGAAAAAAACGCGGGAAGGAAATAGAAGAGAGTTGATAAGCAGCAGGGCTCACCATCATATGTTGAGGCGGCCCTCCAAAATTTGATTGTTCAGGATACATTGAAAGTGAAGCTGTATCTGCTGGTTGGGTCTGGGGAGCTCTTAGATTGATATTCGAATTTTGGTTCCATTGCTGATGTTGATAGCCAACTTCACTCTGGTTCAATGTGCTGGGTAATTGACCAGGATATGACCCAGGTGGTACATGTGGTGGGGCGTTAAACTGTGTATTTTCTGTGGTTTGGTCCCAAACTGATATTCCTTAAAACATTGAAGATTAAAAATTAACATTAAAGATGTCAACAACTACTATGCAAAATGCAAGCAAAATGAACAACACTTTACCTTCATTCACTGCTTGTATATTCCCACGAAAATGAGGGTTAATGTGGATCTTATTTGATCTTAATGTTGGCTCTTCAGGTGGGATACGAATGATTGACGGTTCATTTGGAGTTTGCGTATTGTATACAACTCTTTGTATAGGAGGATACTGATCATTCTGGAAAAATAAAAAGGTTAGCAGAATGTGGAAATGGTACCATAATTACAAGATACATTACATTTGTTATGCTGGAGGATTTTTCCTCTCATGGATATGCAGCATGCCATGACAACTAGCGATGATAGAATAAGGTTCTTACCTGAAGAGGTGCTGATCTGCCGGAAGGTAAACTTCCCTCCATAACATGAAGATTTGGGATATTTTGACCCATATTGGCAACAAATCCTGGAGCTATTTGACTGATGTTTGGATTGATTGATCCCACACCAGTGCTTGTTGGTTGGCCAATACTAGACCACATCATGGGGGCAGCAAAGTTCTGCGATATGTTGGGAGTCATATTCGAATTTGGTCCAGGTCTCACATGAGACGGAAAATTTTGAACTATATTAGGGCCCAAGTTGTGGGTCACATGATGTCCCATGTTGGGAGCTGTATTGGTTTCTTGATAAGCTCTGAAGTTTTGCCCACTTTGAGCAATACTGGGCCCTGGTCCATTGGTGTGTCCCATGTGGGGTCCTTGTCCAGGTCCCATATTGGGTCCTTGTCCCATGTGGGGTACTTGTCCCATGTGGGGTCCTTGTCCCATGTGGGGTCCTTGCCCCATGTGAGATCCTGGCCCCATGTGAGATCCTGGCCCCATGTGGGGTCCCGGCCCCATTTGGGATCCTT